TAAACATTGTTAAGTTGTTTGTTGGAGAATGAGGGCTCTCTCTCTCTATTTCTCTTCTGGTGTTAACTCGCACCAAAAGTTGTTGCGCAGATCGGTCGGCCAGCATGGTTGCTCAGGAAATGCATTGCACTGTTTAAAGACCAACCTTACACTCATTCTGCACAGTCTTTTGTCAAGAAAACAACAAATCACACATTGTGTCACATAGACTGATTGATTTACGTCGCCACTTGTCACATATGAGGGCGTATGTCATCGTCACTTGACACATATCATATGTCATCGTCGTCACCTGTCGCCTATGTCGTCGTCGCCTGTCACCCATGTCGTCGTCGCCTGTCACCCATGTCGTCGTCGCCTGTCGCCCATGTCGTCGTCGCCTGTCGCCCATGTCGTCGTCGCCTGTCGCCCATGTCGTCGTCGCCTGTCGCCCATGTCGTCGCCACTAGTGAAATAGCATAGCGTCTCCAATCCCTTGGATACTATAGTAACATTGATTACATAGCTCTTGAGCATAGCTAATGCATAACATGCTGAACTCATTTTTGTAGTTTAGCAAGTTCAGCATATGCTAAACTTTCTGCAGGCTTCACAGCGTCGCCGGTACAACTATTTTTGCATATAAACTCAGCAACCATTAACCATCGATTTTCAGGTATCTTCACTTTCTGCGTTGGAAAAGCTCTTGCGCAAACACGCTGCCCAAACCGTAAACCCAAATAGGGCTCGTGATAATCAATACCCGCACCCCCTTGCACCTTATTCTTCCTTTCTTGGCATTTCGTTTGTCTTGTTCTTTCTCTCAGGCTCGATAGGTCGGCATCCAGGCTCGTTTAGTCAATGCACTCCCTTTCCCCCCCACCCATCCCGCGGATTAAAAAGGAGCGTGCGCCGATTGTCGGCCTTTTGTGTGTGTCCACACCTGTACCAAGGGTACCAATAATTGGTTTGGCAGGGGGTCCAGGCAGTTGTGAGCTGGCCCTGGACCAACGAAGACGGACTCACAACTGGTGAAGCGAGAAGGGACGCCTTCTTGTGTACCTGCGCCAACTTTTCAACACACTGTAAAGGGCTAATGAGTAATGAGCGCTGTTGAAACATTCAAGTGAGCGGACCCATCACTTCATACTGTTGAATCAAGTCAAGTGCTAAGTATTCACTTAAAGGGCTAACGGCTAACGCACTGGGAGATCATAACTGATTTGGCTCTTGCGGGCATCAATCTATATAAGTGTGTGTAGCCCTTGGATTCAGAGGGGACCTTTGGTCATGCTTTTCTTTTGACATTGATTACTTTTAGCAGGGGAGTGCGGCATGATTGTGGGACCGCACGCAACGAAGCCACCACAACCATGGGATACCGAGTCTGATCAACTCGGCTTACCTGCTGTGTTACCTGAGAACTTCCCACTTTGGTCCCGTTCACAACTAGAACAGTTGCTGGCCTTTGCGGCGGTTCCTTCACTGCAGTCACGAGTTCTTGCAGCCTGTGAGATGTATGAGCCCAAACTCTTGGAGGTTTTGGAGGTTTTCATGTTCAGACCGCTCTACGTACCTTATCCTAGTATCCTTAGGCACTCATACTTAGGTGGGCGTCTGGCATGGGGCATTCAATTCCGCACGCAGTCCGTACGCATTTCCCGACTGTGTGTGTGCCACCCTCCGTCTCTTGGAGTTTGTTTATTGCCCCCTATTATTTCACGCAGGGGGCTAGTAATCAGTAACTAGTTTTCTGCAGTCACGCGTTAACCTTTGTTCAAACACCTTCAAGTACTCTGACTTTTCGCCTTTCGGTTCACTCTTTCCTTTCCTTGGTCTGCTAAGTCTTCGGTAACTAGTTTTCTGTTTTGGCCTCTGACTCAGCCACCTTTCCGTTGTGCCATTCCTTTCCGTCAGTATTATGGAAACTGCAAACCCCATGACTAAGTGTGTATCGCTGTGTCTTCCCACTGTGTACACAGCGCGATCCTCTCGCAAGAGAGGCGCCGAAACCATTCCGGACTACAATTTGTTTTTTACGAAGTGCTGCCATCGTGGATTCTCGTTTGATTCTTTGTTTCACCCATGAGTCAACAGATGGTTAACGCACACATGCACACACACAACACACATGTACATACAACCCCCCCTGCTTTCTCTTTTGCGTTTTCTTCAGTTTTAGGTTTTCTTTCAGGCTCTTTAGGTGGTTCTTGAGGCTCGTTTCCCTGCCCCTCGGGTTTTGGATGGTTCTTTCTCTCTTGCCTGTTCGTTGCTCTTTCTAGGCCTGCCTTTCCGCTGGAGGATTTTTATGTATAACGAGGCCTTTTCGGTCAAGGGCTAAGTATTCAAGTGCGAAGTAGTCAATGTTTTTCGCTACTCCTATCTTTCCTTCTTGCCCTTTTCCTTTTTCTCTTTCTGTCTTTCCTTCCTTCGTTGAGGTGACTATTGAGGTTGTGCGAGGGAGCACCGCGAAGCGGCAGCGCGTGTGTGTGTGTGTGTGTGTGT